AAATTTTGTGACCTATAATATTTTTGATTTGTGAAATTAATTTAATAATATATGACCAATAAATAAGTTATAACCTATAAGTACGTAATTGTGATAATTAATTGTATAATCGTGATCTTAATATATTTAATTAATAAGTTATTTTTAATTACTTAGTTATCACTTAAATTTTGAAAATTTAAACTTATACTTTACACTTGAGATCCTTGCTCTTTGCAATGGCCATCAAAATAGGGCTTAATATGAAATCTCAAGCTGCTTGAGGGCATCAATGAAGAACACATTTGTATCACATCAGTCAGGATCGAACCTGAAGCCAGGTACAAGATGTGGCCCCTCAGGCCCAAAATCTTTGAGAACAAACTTCTTGTGGTGTAATGGTGGTTAAGGCGGGGCCGTAAAGGTCACCAACCTTTGGTCATATTTACACTCTGTCCTTTTAATTTGAATGTAAACTACAATTTCAGGGTCCAACATTAGAGTTCGACTTACGTCCTCCAAACGTCAGTACCTCCTATAATTGCTTCTAACTCTTCAAATTTGATCGAGTAAAAGAAGATCACTTAAATAAAATATATTATTAAGATAAAACTAAAATAAATAATTTTTTTATGTAAAAATAACTATGACAATTAAATTTTTAAAGAATTTAATTCAAATTGTTGGAAACTGGCATCAAAAATTAGGAAGAAAGTTATTCAATAGGAAAAATTATAGGAATTTATAAACGTAAATTGCAACAAACTAAGTTGGCAATACTTATCTACGAACTTCATAGTCAGGGCCGGCTCTAGGCCAAGGCCTAGGGTCTCAAATCATATGGAGGCCTCAAAAATGAAAGAAACCCAATTAAATTTAAAAGATAGATATAAAAGTATTTTAACTGCAATGTTTATTGTTGATTCTAACTTAGTACGATCTTATTAAAATCAATATTTTTTGAATTTAATATACATGATTAATGTTGAGCTACCAAACGAGCCTAATATTGTTAGGGTAATCTGATTTAATTTAAAAACTAGTATTACACATCAAGTAGTTATTTTAATAAGTTATAATTTGAATATGCTCTGTCCATATTACCTTTTACTCGAGTCCATAATATGTCATTTATTACGAGGTTCGGAATGAATCCAATATTGATAGGATAATTTCGATGCTCTAATAAATACACATTAAGTACAAATACATTATTAATCTCGAAACTTATTTTTACTTTAATCCCTCAAAATCTTGAATTTATTAAAAAGTTCTTGAATCAAAATCATAGGAATCTAGTTACTTTTTTAATCACTAAATAATCTAGAGTTGTCGGAATTAAATTTTTTTTCTCTTTCATTTCTATCTTTTGGATTATACCAAGTCTTCATTTAAAATATAAATAAATTATTTATTTAAACATTTAAATATTTTTACGTTTGTAAAAATATTACATTTAAAGGTCTCATAATGATGAGTTGTTTAGGACCTCAAAATTCTCGAGATCGGCCTATTAAATTATACCAAGTGCTATTGCAAAAGATAAAAAAATCTCACCTAAGATGGTCTATATTATATTAAAAATGGGATCAATAAAATACAAAGAGGAAACCTCTATTTATATGGATATAATATAGCAAATTTAGTTGAACAATGCTATAGGTACAAAATTTTTTGATAGAAAAATTTTACAGACAACATATGACGCGACATCATTGAAAGATAAGAAAAAGAAAAAAAACAATCAAATCATGTTTTGCCGCATCAATGTCGGTACAAATTCTGTTAAAATTTTCCTACACTCAATTAAAATTAAACCGTCACATTATAATTAAAACTAAATCAAATCATGACAAAGTTAGAAAAAATGTATATATATAAAAACATGGGGACTTCAAAAGGTTAAGAGGAAAAAAAATGCAGAAATCATAATTAACAAAAAGAAAACGTGGAAACGCCTTTGAAGTTATAACGATGCTGCGTCATATCCCGTGGGTAATTTCGTGCTATAGTACGGACACATCACCTGAGAAGGATTACTGCGCTAGTGATACGTGTCAAATAATGATACGCTGGAATTTTAAGGTGAAACGGATGATTGGTGGCAACATGAAAAGTGCGGCGGCAATGCGACAGGAGAACTGTAGTGGGCTTGGGCTTGATTGATGGTAACTGTAGATGTTGTCGTGAAAATATCTCTGTCTTCTCTGCATTATAATGTTATAAAAAGTTTTGAAACTACTTTTTTGTCTTTTTTTAATTTCGAGTAAATTTAACCAATAATCACTGAACTTTACACTTGATTACTACTTGCTCACTCATCTTTCACATATTACTGAATACTCACTCATCTTTTCATATAATTACTCATTCACCACTCGTCTCTTCAAATAACTGGGCTACTTTTACGGCAAATTTTCAACAACTTCCGACTACAAAGAATGTCGAATTTTGATACCGTTAGAAAGCCCACGATGTCCTCTTTAATTACCGCCCAAAATCTCATTATAACTCCAAGGGATTCGATCGAAAAATTGCCTTAAAAGTCGTCCAAAAAATCTGAAAATCTGGGCAGATTTTCAAAATTTTTGGGCAACTTTTAAGGCAATTTTTCAATCGAATCCCTTGGAGTTATAATGAGATTTTGGGTGGTAATTGAAGAGGATATCGCGGGCTTTCCAATGGTATCAAAATTCGACATTCTTTGTAGTCGGAAGTTGTCGAAAATTTGCCGTAAAAGTCGTCCAATTATTTGAAGAGACGAGTGGTGAATAAGTAATTATATGAAAAGATGAGTGAGCATTCAGTAATCTGTGAAAGATGAGTGAGCAAGTAGTAATCAAGTGTAAAGTTAAGTGATTATTGTTTAAATTTACTCTTTTAATTTCTTTCCCTTCAATGAATTTTTCTCATAAAGTATTAAAGTTCCATTTGATTAAGATTTTAAAAAACTTTAATATCGACGGTTTGTACGATAACCCAATTTAATATAACGGATAATTGGCACAAAATGTCTCTATCTTTCAAATGTATTGTGGAAAAAGTCCATACCTTCTACTTTCTTGGCGCTAAACGTCATTTTCATCAATTTTTGACGGTTTTACCCTCCATTCAAATAAAACAAAAAAAAAAAGAGAAGAAAAAAACTAATTGCAACCACATTCCCAAAATTTCTAAAAATTGCAAATAGTAACTTGATAATTACAATATTAAATAAATTGAAAAAAAAATCAAAAAATAAAGGAAAAAGTTTTAAAAAATGGGTTGTCTTCTTCACGACACGCCACCCCACGCACTCACCCCACCATACAAAATCTCTCTGCACAGGAAATCCTCCAAATTCGAAACCACATTACATCTCTCGAGGGTTGTTAATAACTTACTTTTTTGCTATTTATCTTCTATTATTGTTATTTTTCAGTTTTGATGATTTCTGTGGGTAGTATAGATGGGGGAAATTTGTCATGTTTAGGGTTAGAAATGGAAGAAAACAAATTTGAAGAAGGAGAGGTTGGCTGTTTTCGGAATGATGGTGACGATTCCACCATTGACCCTAATATTGCACTCTCTTACATTGTAAGTTCATTTTATTTTTTAATCTTTCTTTGTAATTCAATTTTTCAATTTTCTAAAACTGCATGTAGTTTGATTTATGAATTATATCATGTTCAGTTGTGTAGAGACATGTAATGGGGCTTCGGATATGAAGGATTTGTTGTGCAGAGAAATTTTGTGGGGTGGGGTGGGGTGGGGTGGGGTGGGGGAAGAAGAAGATGAATAGTAGGGACGTTCAGCGCCAAGAAAATGGAAGGTAAGGACGTTTTGTGCCAAAAAATGAAAGGTAGGAATGTTTTCTACAATAAACTTGAAAGATAGGAACGTTTTGTGCCAATTACCCCGCAAACATATCTTTGCATTTCGGCGTGTTAATTTTGACAATTTATTGCTAGACAAAGTTGTGTTCGACAATAAATAAACTGTTAGTACGAAAACTTGATATTTGTACATACAAGCTTATATTGAGGAAATCTAAATCAAAGACTTGTCACATAATTTAACAAAGAACTTACAATTTGACCTGCAGAATAAAGTGAAGTTTTCCTAATAATTTTTTTCCTGGTAACCAACTAAAACATCAATTCATAATGAGGTCAATTTTTTGCATTATTAAGTTTTTATATACATAAAAAAAAATCTTGCTAAACTGGGACGGCTTGGAAATTTTTCATATCATATTTTAAAAAAAAATGGAATGTAGCATTTTGAGGTAGCCCTCACCATTCTCGACACTTTGATTGTTCATGCAAACAAATCTTTGATTTTCAGCGTGTTAATTTTGGCAATTTTTTGGTAGACAAAGTTGTGTTTGACACGAAATAAATTGCTAATACAAAAATTTGAGATTTCAAAAACATAAGAATTCGATTTCTATGGAATTGGCAAAAAACGTGCTTTAAGAGTTTGTACCCTAAAATTCAAAGTACCGTAAAATTCAAACTCCAATTCTACTTTCGTATCAAACAGCCAAAAGTAGAAAACGAATTCCTCGGATGTAACATTTTCCCATAGAATTGGATGCTATCAAATGGACCTTGAGTTTTGAAATAGTAATTTTTTGGATAATGTATTTTTAGAAAGCAGGAAAAATTTTTAGATTTACATGTAGCATATGTGATCGAAAATGAGGTGGGAAAAAAGGTTTCTATAACAATTATCAAATAAGGCTTAAATCCTAATGGGTTAATGTAGGCCTATTAGCTCAGTTGGTTAGAGCGTTGTGCTAATAATGCGAAGGTCGCCGAGACCTGCATGGGCCATTTTTTTCCTCCTAACATTTATCCTTTTCAACTTACTCTTTAGTGCAACAAAAGAACTTCAAGTTAATTTCACATAAGGTCCTTCTACTTTATACCCTATCCACAATGTGCCCTTACATTTCAAATATCATTAAGATTCTATCTTTTTCATTTTTCGCTCCATTTTTCAAACAAGAAGTGAAATATTTAATGGAAAGAAACTCATAAAAATCTTTTATTGTTCACTAATTTAATCATGCTATAATATAAAAATCGAAACATCCAACACGCACATATGCTTGACAATATTACATATTCTTTAATAAATATATCCTCCACTACTATAAATGTTAATGGCATCTGGCTCACAAGAATTAGCAGTATTGGATTGATTTTGGATAGCCAATTTACTGCAATTATTTATCTGTTGGTTCCACAACCCTCCCCATAAATAACTATCGATTCGGATAGTATCCGGACACGACATGAAATCATCGTACATCGTAGGCAATATTTCATTTTGCAACTCCATTATGTCGTTTTTCTCGAAGGATACTCTTTCATTGGTTATGGCCTCCTCCTTCTTATCCTCATAATTTTCTTCTTTTTGTTTTTGTTGTGTTCGAAGAAGATTTTTTCTCCTTTCTTGCCTTTCAGAAGCCTTTATTCTCTTCTTGAAATGAGTTCTCCAGTAGTTTTTGATCTCGTTATCCGTTCTTCCTGGCAAGTATCTTGCTATAGTCGACCATCTGTGGACATAACAATGATGTCTTATTCTCAATAAATTTGAAGTCAGCCCATCTGTAAGATTATACAAAAGAGGGGGGTGGGAGGTGAAAGATAGAGAAAGAGTATGCATTACTTGTTTCCCCAAAGGGCGTGAAGTTCGATAATAATTCCTTCCTCTTGAGGTGTTATGTGGCCTCTTTTGAGTCCAGGTCTCAAGTAGTTCACCCATCTTAGTCTACAACTCTTAGCATTCCTATTCAGCCCTATATACCAAAAAATTTCTTTAGTAAACAAGAAAAAAATAACAAACGCGAGCGATATAGGTAATCAAGCAACGACGATAACCCCAAAAAAAAAAAAAAAAAAGTCCCCTGACTCGACCTGAAAAATGAGACTTGTACACATACCTGCACACTTGGCTACAGAACTCCATCTCCCTTCACCATTCTGACTTACATATTCTGCAAGAAGCTTATCTTCTTCAGGAATCCAAGGACCTTTCCTCCACTCTTTTTCTGAAACACTCCAACTTTCCATATCAACCATTTTTTCCGCTATATTTGAATGAGAAAACCCTTAAGCAATCTTTGCTTATATATTGTATATATCTTCTTAATTTGTCACCTTCATTGTCTTTTTCTAGGTCATTGTCCTTAGACTATATGCCAGATGTCATTATATTATGCTTTTGGAATTAGTCTTGTTCAATAGAAATTAAACAGGTGATGCAACAAAATCGTTTGTTCCCTATTATTAAGCACAAGGACAAATATTCTTTGGTTAAGTTCATGGAATCTAAGATTAATTAAAGCATGATCTTGACTAAGCCGTAATATTTAGTAGGTTTTTGGTGTAAATGTGTTACACTCCAATTATCAAGTTACACATGTTGGTATACTCAATTGATCTTGTCATTAATGTTTTAGTTCAAGATAGAGATGAGGTATAATCCCTTATTTTATTTAAGCATTAAGAAGCTTCATGATGCCAAATCGAGTAATGGGATTAATAAAATATGTAGAAGAAGAAAATATCGATGATGAGGTGAGTCAACTTGTGGACGCGTGGACATTGGTGACAATATTAAAATGTAAAGGGGGATTTTTAAATCGTAAAAACTCATTAATTTATAGGATAATGATATATATGGGTCATGACGTGTACGTGCCACCATTATTATATTTTTGTAAAGCTTTTCAATAAAGGAGTTCAAGATTTGGAAGAATACCACTAGATCAAGTAATGCTTGTACCAGATGCTTTATGTGATTGTGCCAAGAGTAAATTATTTAAAGTTGCGTCATTCTGTTCTCTTAATCCTGTTAAAGTATTGAAGGGGCTTTTAAGTGTACCTTAAGAACAAAATTTTTCTAAATTTAGGTTCCATTTGACACGATTTCTATTTGTGTTTCTATTTGAATTTCCTCATGAGGATGATATTTTAAGTCAACTTCCTTTAAAAGTTCAAATAAATCAAATAAAGCATTTTTAGAAATTTATCAAAATATATTCAAAAATAATTTTTTACGTTCAAAAGCAACTTTTGATTTTTTAAAAATTATATCAAACGAGTCACTAGTCTATTAATGCACCAAAATACAATGGAATATAAATTAAAGTCAAGGTTATTAAATAGTGATTATTTCTTAATCCTTGGAGATTTCAAAAGCTCCATCTTTGATCACGAATGGTATATACATGCACACACATTTAGACTGTTTTTTTTTTTTTTTTTAATCTGTAGATAAATTGTATTGATTAAATCTTTCCTATACTCCAAGGTCAGAGCTAATAAAAATATATGTGTTTTCAAATAAAAATTTTATTTCACACTTAGAGGGTTGTAGCCTAGGGTTGCTATTAAATCCACTCCCAATATGCTCTTAAAATTGTAGTTAAGTGTCCAATCGAACATATGCCAAAGCTTTTAACGTTTTCCTTGGCGAGAAGAGGGACCCAACTTCCAAATACAAAAGTTTCACACATCATGAATGACGAGCTTATTTATTCATTACTTCTAGAACGCGGACCTAAACATGTCTTGACTTTGGCACTGTTAAGAAAAATAAAATAGCAATGGAGAACAAAGAGGAAGAAGAAGATGAATATGAAATCTTACAAATGCTTGAACACGAAGATTGTACCGTTATCCTCAAACGATATTTTCCTCCTTTCGATTTGCTTTTAAAGATTGAAAATGGCAAATAGATTGCAGAATTAATTGAGTTGAAAGAAGAACACCAAAAGTAAAAAATGATCTTCAAAATGAACAAGTAAAAATCAAAGAATTTGATTATGTAGATGCACAAAATTTTCTACAAGATTTTGGATGAACAAAGAATAATTTTCTCATATGATTTCATTGTGTTTTCCATGAACTTGATCAGTTCACACGAAGTGGTGCCAAAAAAGATACGAAAGGCCACCAAATTCAAACTAAAAAGGGCCAAAAACAGCCACAATGGTCATATATTTTATACTATGCAACCGCATGGACTATAACTATGCAGTCGCATAGTTATAGCGTTTTTGGGTCTCAAAATTTCTACATATTCACATGCGATGACATAGACCAATGGTCGCATAGGCCAATTTCCTTGGCACAATTTCTCTTCTTTTCATTTCTTCTCCAATTCATTTAATCTATTCCCTAGATTTTTGAACTACAAGATTCTAACAATCCTCCACTTGTTCAAAATCAACATTTAATCTCATAATCAAATATCAAGACTCATGCATAAGAATTAGATATATTTCTATTTGAATCTAACTATAATGTAAATCTCATAAAATATTATAGAAATTCCAGGTAGCTAGAACGCTTTGAACCAATTATTTCTTGTAACAATACCAATGAAATCACACACACAAGTGTCAAAATTTTCACAAGTTCATCTAAGTCACTTAGTTCTAATATGTCTTTGCACTTTTCCATTTTTCATTGAATTTTTAAAGAGAGAAAACTGCAGCTCTCTAATGAGGCAGCACCACCTTGAAGTTTACATAGGTGAAGTTCTTTTGACATCTTTGTTTCTTTTAGAGATACTTGTACCTTGTATTGAACTCTCCAATAGTAACAACCAACACTATTTACCAAAGATAGGGATGAATAATTTAATAGTGTTGAAATCTATCCACTAATCAAATGATTTATTATTATCCATTGAACCTAAATATATTTCTTCAGTATACTTTTGGTAGGGTTGCTGTCATTAGTGGATCTATTTAAGGAGTTTCAATCCCATCTTACTTGATTTTGATCTCACTAATTCTCTCATGAGAGGTTTAGTAAATTGATCGGCTAAGTTCTCACTAGACTTAACATATATAAGAGAAATTTCTTCGTGCTTGATTAATTTTCTCATATACTTGTGTCTTAAACTCATGTGTCTAGATTTTTCATTTTATACATGCTCGAGTTAGAGTGGCTTAACTATCAAATAAGATAGGTATGGAAAAAATATCCTTTATATCTAAAGGTATTTCATGTAATAGATCTCTTAGCCACTCAACTTCTATTCCAGTTTCGGCCAATGCTACAGACTCTGATTTCATTGTTGAATAAGTAGTGAGTGTTTGTTTCTTAGACTTCGAAGAGACTACACTTCCTCCAAAAGTGAATACCCAACCTGAAGTGGACTTATTTTCTCCTTCACTTGATATCCAACTTGCTTCGGTTTATCCTTCTAAGATTCTAAGAAACTTTGTATATTGTATCCCTAGGTTTTTTGTTTTCTTTAGGTAACCAAGAACCCTATCAATGCCTTCCAATGTTCGGAACTTGGGTTACTAATAAACCTACTTAGTTTACTTATAGCAAATGCTATATCAACTCTTGTACATTGTGCCGCATACATAAGACTTCCAATTGCAATTGCATATTCTATTATTCTTCCATCGTTTTTTATCAGCTTGATATTTGGATCCAACGGACTATTAGCCTCCTTGACGTTTAAGTGATTAAACTTATTTTTCACATTTTCTATATAATGTGATTGGCTCAATGTAAAACCCCCCACTATCCTTTTTAACTTTGATACCAATGATAATATCAACTTATTTGAGATCTTTCATTTTGAATGTGGAAGACAGAAACCTTTTCTTTTCTTTGATCCTGTCTATATTGTTACTAATAATCAACATATCATCAACACATAGACATATTAATGTAATTATAATATCATTTATTTTAGTATAAAGACATTTGTCTATTGAATGAAGATTAAAACTATTTGACATTATTTTAGAGTCAAAACTTCTCATGCCACTTTTAGGGGTTCGTTTTAATCCATCTAAGGATTTAATTAGTTTGCATACTTTATGTTCATTTCCCAATAGAATAAATCCTTCTGATTGTTCCATATAGACCTCTTCTTCGAGATCTCCATTCAGGAATGTCGTCTTGATATCCATTTGATGAACATGTAAATCATAAATAGATGTCGGTGCATATGTATTGATAAGTGTGTTTTTACACACTTATTTAGCTCACAAAGATGACTTAAACATGGACAAAGTAGTTGAATTATGACTTAATATTGTTAAATTCATGCTATGTAGGTGTTTTTATGGAAAAGATGGAATTCAAAAGAAAAGAGCCGAAAAGGACCAAAACGGAACAAAGCGATAGTTCGAGGACCAAGTTGCAAATAATCCATAGATGAGACGGGAAATGGAATGAGGATTCAAGAGTGTTAAAGTTTGATTGGATGAGGAAAGGAGTCAAGAGGTCAAATATGGTCGAAGTATTATCAAGTATCAAATTTCAGGCGAAAAAGTTATGCTCGTGATTTTGAGTCTCTACTTGAGATCCATTTTTGGCATAGTAAACATCAGAATTTGAGGAAGCCTATTTCTATCAAAATGTATGTCTTTGAGTTTTCTTCCCAATGCACTTCGAATCACTTCAATCGGAGATCGCGAGAGAAAGTTATGACCAAAATACTGAAAGATGTCCGGAGGAAAAATTTTATAACCATGCGGCCGCATGGTTATAATTCATTGCGGCCGCACAGGGTCTAACAGGGTTCCAAATGAGCTGAAAATTGAACCATGCAGTCGCATGGTTTAACACCATGCGGCCGCATGGCTTTAAGTTTGATAAAAAATTCTGAAATCCGGTTTTTAATTGAAACTCTTTCGGGGCTCCGTGAGGACATGATATAAAAGCCAAAATTCATCAGAAATAGGGCAGAACGTCCAGGGAGAAGAAGAATACAACTTTTGGAGGCAAGGAACACGAACTTGAAGCGGATTTTACAAGGATTCAAAGGGGTTTTCAAGGTTTTATTCAAGATTTCAGATTTCAAGAACTTTCACACGGGTGTTCTTCTTTCTATTCGTTAATTTCGTTTTGTTTTCTGTAATTATGAATCTTCTAGGCTAGGGTTTTAATTACTAGGTGATCGATGAACCGTTGTTTGTTATTTTAATTCTATATTTCATGAACTTGATATAAAGATTCGTTGGATAATTTGATTGATTTACATGCATTAATTTTCTTCTGAAATTAGTGGCCAATGATTGTGTGAGTATTGATGACTTGTTTCTTACATTTGAGAG